AGTAATAAGACGTAAGGGACCCGATAAACCACCTTCATAATGGGAAACGCTCAAAAAATGCCACCAAAACCAAGCTTCATAGTAGAAATAAAAGCTTGCATGATATTCCATTCACCAGCAAATGTAGAATGAAATCAAAAACCAATGGGGTCTTACTCAGTAAAGGGGGCGTGTGGTGTAACAATTCATATTGCCTTAAATACTCCAATTTTCCGCAGGGAAGAAAACAGTGATAGGTATCAAAGTGGAAGCGAAATGATCATGCATTCCAGGGATCCCCTCCCCCATCAAAGACTGGAATTTCTGTAAGGGCAGCAACTGTCACACGACATGGCCTAATTACTGAACGAGACCCCCCCCCCTAATGTTCTCCGTAGTGACGGAACAAAGAAATAACTACATTCGTGCGCTTAATAGAACAAAAGCGAAGAAGTACTGTAGAAGAACTCAGAATTTAGAATTGAAAACAAAAATTTAGAACTCACGTCAAAAAGGGAGCACTTTTCCTGCGTATAAAATGGCAGCCGCAACAACAGAGACCGAAAGAATTGCAACACTGGTAAAAAGTTTCCGTTCCCACGGCTCCAGCATGTAAAGCCCAGTCACAAGACAGTACTGCAGGTAAAGCCACTCCAATCCATTAATCTGGAATGGTGAAGAGCTAAAAAAGTCACAACTGATCTAAAGAAGCTGTCGTGTAAGCTGGTTGTGTAGCCCACAGAGTATACCACGGCGAGATATTCAAGCTGCTGTATGCTGCACTGCCCTGCAGAAGCAATTTAGAAACGTTTGCTAGAAACGTAATCCTTGATGGGTTGCCTCCCTTCTTCCATCAATCACACTTCGCAAAAGTTGGTTTTCTTTGGAACCATCTCCGAGGGAAGCCAAAGAGATAATTATTGGGACTAGCGCGAGCTGCAAAGTTGTCGCGCCGAGCTCTGTCTCACATTTATGGCCGACGCCAGACTTTGCGACGGGAGCGATTTTGCAAAAGTGGCGAGAGCGATCAATCGCTCAGGTCACCTGTGCAAAATCGCTCCCATCGCTAGTCCGACATTGGCTTATTAGAGATGGATTGAGCAACGAGTTTTTGCTGACCGAAGAAGTCAGTTTTACACACAGTTCGCTCTCCAGTAAAAGAGGAGTTGCAAAAACGTATCAGCTTGATCTTGTGGGGCTGGAATCTATTCTGAATCAGCGCATGAAATAACCTTATAGACGATTTCAACGGACTTTTCTGAGATTACGCTCCAGCGGGCATCTTGTCTGTAATGGGCGAGTACGTGCTGTAATGCTGCATTTATCAAAAAGAAAACTAGATTGATAGTCTACGGATTCCTGGAGACTATAAGGCCGATGTCATAGTTTGCGAATCGAGCGATTCGCTAGCGAATCGCTCGATCCGAGCGTTGCGCCAGCGAATCGAACGTTGCACCAGCGAATCGAA